CCTTTCATAAATCCTGATTTATTCTTTAGCTCTTGTGCTGCCCGAGGTGGATCCATGGAGATCCTTTCATAAATCCTGATTTATTCTTTAGCTCTGTCCAGCCTCTGTCCCAGGGCAGATTTCACAAGGCATCACTCTGACCCTTCTTTGCCTCCCCAGAACCAGCACGACGATGTCAAGAAGCAGCTGCTGGACCTGCAGCTGCAGCACAACAGCCTCAAACTGGAGCACAGGAAGAGCCTGGAGAGCCAGAGCCAGAAACTGGCCCAGCTGCAGCAGGAGAAGGACAGCGAGGTCACCAACCTGCAGGGTGAGGCTGAAACCCCCTGAAAGCACCAGGCTGAGGAAGGACTTGGCGTTGTTTTGATTTTTAAGATTTTTCTAAACCTTTTTAAGTTTGCATTGTGTTAGAAAACCTTCTCACACAATTTTTATAAACAACATATCGTTTTGCATTCCTTTATGGGGGTGGAGAAACTTGATACATTAGGAGTTTGTTTAATGTCTTTAGAATAGTAGCTTATTTAGTCTCTAATCTAAAGTTACTTTTAGAAAAATATGACAGTTAGAATTAGAAAATAAACTTTTTTCTTTACCTTGCAAATAGCAGAGAGCTCGTGTTGTGCTTTCAGGTGTCCTATAGCAACAGACTGGGATTGGGATTTGTTGGCTAAAACCCTTTTCTGACCCAGACATGGGGCAGCTGAGAGATGTTTTACAAGCTTTTATTCCATTTTCAGTCTCGTGAGAAGGGTGAGACAATTCAGGTGCTATAATTCACACTGTCACAATCAGAAACTAACTATTTCTTAATTATAATACGTTATAAGCATGTCAGCTTTAGCCACACCACGCTGTAAATGCCTTAAAGTTAATAATCTAAAATTACCCCTCGTGGCTCCTACTCCAGTGCATCTTTCACAGTTCCATTTCTCCAAAGTTCCCAGTCTTATTTGCAAGGATATTATTTGAAACTTGTTTCTGGCTCCATTTCTCTCTCAGCAATGTCTGTCCTATCCCATTCATTTCTCAATCAGCATTTCTTATCTCAAGGTTTGCACACACTGTGTGAGTCTTCTGCCAGGCCTGGAGAATTCCCTACAAATCCATTTTCCCCAAAGAGAGGGCAGAGATTCCTCTGCAAGCCCCCCAAAACCACGCCAGGAATAATTTGTTGTGACCATCTGCAGCATCTTGGAGCACTGTGCTGCTGCTGTAGGAACAAATCCCCCAAATTCTGACAGTTCAGCTTGGGAGCAAAATGAAACAAAATGCAATTAATTTTTTTTTTTTAATGAACGGTGTAGGTGTGTAAAATGCAATTTAATAGTGCAAATGTTGTAGGCAATGCTGATCCCTTTAATTCCCAAAGAGTGGGTTTTATTCAGTTGCTGTTTAATTACATTTAAGGTTTGCATCTGTTCCTACTTGATGAGGTCTGGAACATCAAAATGCTGGTGGATGTTTGGGGTTATTTTCCCTCTTCTCAACAAAGCCCAGTTTAATATCTGATGAGCTTTTGGGTTAGAAAGGGGGGAAATTGAGGACAAATAAATGAAACCTAAAGATTTGATTTGCTCTGTTCCTGAAATACACATTGCTAGAGGGGACTGGAGGGGTTTTTTTAGGTTGGATCTCAATGAGAATTCCCTTCTCAGTTTGATGCCAACCCTCACCCAACCTCAGTGGCAAAATGCATTGTCCCAGGGCTGAACATAAAGAAAAGAGATGCTGTAATCAGAAATATCTGTGATTTTTGAGCCTTCTGTGCTGTTCAGCCCATTGCAGAGACCAGCCAGTCAGGGGAAAATTCCCATCCCAATTTTGTGTGCAGAGAAACCCCAGCGCCTCCTGTCCCGGGGGTGTTCTGAGGATCCAAAATCAGGGCTCAGCAGAGCTGAAAAACCTTTCTTGGCTTTTTTTCCTTAAGTTCCCAGTTGCCCCAAGAATTGGCAGTGACTCCCTGCTCCCCCTTTTCTTCAGCTGCAAGGGGGCAGGGGAATAAAAAATCAAATTATTTGAGTATCTGAGTCCTGTGGCAAATGCACGAGAGCCTGAGCTGAGAGCAGGAGCTGGGAAAGAGGCTGGAGAGAAGAGAGTTCTAGAAAGAATGAAGTTTGTGATTCCTGGGCTTGGAGACATCTGTGAGGTCAGGAGGAATTTGTGGTGAGAAAGGGAGATGCAACACTTGAAAAAAAAAAAAAAAAGAAGAAAAAAAAAAAAAAATTATTTTTAAACATTTTTTTTTTCTCCTGCAGACACGGTGTTTAAACTCAGAGAAGAGAGCAAGCTCCTCAGGAAGGCCCACCAGGAGGTTCACTCCCAGCTCCTCAATGCTCAGGTAACCACCTGAGCAAATATTCCCTAAATAATAAATATTCCCTAAAAAGAAATCCGGTTACCAATTTTCATACGCATAAAATACATCTTTTCATTAGAATGTCCCTCTGCCAAACCAGTACGGCGTGGCTGTTCCCAGCAGGGAGATGTTTAACCCTGGTGAGGTTTCTCTGTGTCCTTCTGCTCCCCTCAGGCCCAGATGGAAGAGTTCAGGCAGCTCAAGGAAGCTCTGCAGAAGATGCCAGGCTTGAGAGGAGGAGGAGGAGGAGGAGGAGGAGGAGGAGGAGGAAGGAAGGGGCAGCAGCCCCCGGTGCCAGCCAGCAGCCAGCTGCAGCCAGGGATGCAGAAGGTGTGGTATTCCCAGGAAAACTCTGGGATAAGCATTCTGCAAGGCTCCAGGAGCTTCAAAGCAACAAAGCTCAGAGTTTGCTCTTGTCCTTCCCCCTTCCCTTCCCTTCCCTTCCCTTCCCTTCCCTTCCCTTTCCTTTTCCTTTTCCTTTTCCTTTTCCTTTTCCTCTTTCTTTCTTTCTTTCTTTCTTTCTGGAATCTGAATGACTCCTTTTTGGAATCTGAATTATTGTTTTTTGGAATTTGAATTATTCCTTTTTGGAATCTGAATTATTCCTTTTTGGCTGCATAAAAGGAGGAGTCTTCTACTGCAGGCTGGGCAGGACTGCAGATTTCTTCTGGAGAACTTCAGGATGTTTGGTTTTGGTTAAGGATTTTGGCCTGGACTTTGGGGAGTATTTGATGTTCCAGGACTGCAGATTTCTTCGGGAGGATATTTGGTTTTGGTTAAGGATTTCTTGGTGGGTATTTGATATTCCAGAACTGCAGATTTCTTCGGGAGGACGTTTGGTTTTGGTTAAAGGTTTCTTGGTGGGTATTTGATATTCC